TTCGAAGATGTGAAGAAAGCCTACAGGGAAGCGAATTTGTTGCTCGGCGATATCATTAAAGTTACGCCCAGCTCGAAAGTAGTTGGTGATTTGGCACAGTTTATGGTTCAAAATAAACTTTCGTCTGACGATGTGCTGAAGAGAGCTGAAGAACTCTCTTTCCCTAAATCAGTCGTAGAATTTCTGCAAGGTGCTATCGGCGAACCTCACGGAGGATTCCCTGAACCTCTTAGGCACGTTAAATTATTGTATTTAATATGTGATCTACTTCACAGATGTACCAGAAATAATTTATTATTTTTTTGTATGTGTAACTTCTGTGACTATATTCTTCTTATTAATTTTATAACTATATTTCATTTATTTTTCTCTTCATCTATTTCCAACTATTCTCATCTATTTTCAACTAAATTTTGTAATTGTATTTCATAGGTCTAAAGTATTGAAAGACATGCCACGCGTAGAAGGAAGGCCAGGTGCAAGCCTGTTACCATTGGACTTCGACGCTTTGAAATCTCAATTACAAGAATCTCACCCCCACGTATCGTATAGAGACGTTATGTCAGCCGCCCTTTATCCTAAAGTTACGGACGATTATTTGAACTTCCGAGAGAAGTTTGGCCCAGTAGACAAACTAGAGACGAGAATATTCTTGACAGGACCAAAAGTCGGAGAAGAGTTCGATGTGACGATCGAGAAAGGTAAAACCTTGGCTATCAAGACTCTGGCAGTCGCTGAGGATCTTACGAAAAATGGGGAGCGTGAGGTGTTCTTTGAAATGAATGGCCAACTCAGATCTGTATTCATCAAGGATAAAGAGGCTATTAAGGTAAATTTAATCTTTGCATATTAGAAGCCATAACAATATAATTTGTAATAAATTACATTTATTTTATTTTGGAATATTTTTAATTTGATTTAATTTTTTTATTTAAGAAAAAAATCTCCGCTAGAAAGAAAGTAAAACAAAATGTTAAAACTTTTAGTAATTTAATATAAATTATTACAGCCATCTGTAACCCATTGATACTTATTTTAAAATATAAGTTACAGTCGGGAACATCTACGTACATTTACTTTTCAAATATTTAAAGAGAAGCAAAGATGTTTTTTGAACTGTAAGAAATATTGTTAATATTTTAGGAACAGTCTAATTGTAACTAACAAATTAATTAAGATCCATAAAATCGTCCAAAATTCCTCTATTTCTCTATTTGAATTATTATTTAAATCGACTTTAAATATGATATTTAAAATTTTACAAATATATGTAACTTCTGTGACTATGTTTCTTGCTTTCATCAAAATGTCATCAATACTGAGAATCTCGAGCAAAATCATTTTTTTTTTTTTTTTCAGGAACTCCATGTGCATCCTAAGGCTGCTAAAGGAGACAAGAATCAAATCGGAGCACCGATGCCTGGCACTGTGATCGACATCAGGATAAAAGTAGGCGATACGGTCGAGAAAGGAGCACCCTTGGTTGTATTGTCAGCCATGAAAATGGAGATGGTGGTCCAAGCTCCAAAAGCTGGAAAGATCAAGACGCTGGACGTCACTCAGGGAATGAGATTAGAAGGAGACGATTTAGTCTTGACTTTAGAATAGAACTTTTAAATCATTTGAGACTGGA